CCGGGCCGAGCAGCGCGGAAGAGGCCGCCTGAGCCGCGGCCTGCCCGGGTTGGCCTCTCGCGGGGGCGCGGCGGGGCTCGCCCCCTCTCCGGCCGGGAAGCGGCGCCGCGAGATCCGGTGGGCGCCCGAGGCGGGCCAGGCACGGAGCGCCTTCGGCAGAGGCGACGCAGCCCAGCGGGAAAGGTGGCCGCGGCCGCCCTATTCCCCCGCCCCCACCTTCGCGATGCCGCTGTCGCGCCCAGTCCGCTCCCGTTGCAACCGGTGTGAACGTGATGCAGAACATGGCGAGGCAGGGACACCGCTCCCCCCGCAGGAGCAGCATGGACAGGTGGGGAGGCGGCCGAGGCCGAGAGAAAGGGCAGCCCCTGTCCTTCCGCCCCCCCCCCACTGAGGGCGCCCTTCCAGAACCCTGGGCGAGCGAGGAGCCTCGTCCAGGTGAGGGGCTCCAGCCATTCGGCCGAGTGGAGCACCACCCCCCACCCTGGCAAGCACAAGGGGGGACAAGTGGCAGAGGTGCTGGGAGGTGGCTGAAGGGCTGCCCCATGTGGGAAGAGATCCCCCTCCTCCGGAAGGCCAGGCTGCAGCCCCTGCACCTGCCCCACCTCGGCTGAGCGTCCTCCCCCTTGGAAAACTTCCCCGGGATGTGATGGACCATTGCTGTCCCCAGGCCAGGCTCACAAACTGGAAACAAGAGGTCGTTAAAGCAGCTTTTATGTATAAAAGTAGAGGGTGCGGCTCCAGGTAGAGCGGGGGGGGGGGGGGAGGCAGCGGCGGCTTTGGTCTCGCTGGCCCAGCGCCCTCTGGCCCCTCACGGCTTCGGCGCATCAGAGGACTGGAAGCGGTTCAGCTTCTCGGGGTTGTTGGACGCCATTTGTGAGAAGTCGCGAAATATGTCCTGATAAGTTTCATCTCCTAGAAAGGGGAAAGAAAGGGCATGTTACACCAACACGGAGGCGGGCCCACATCGCCTCCCCCCCCCCCCCCGACCTTCAGCGGAGACGCGTTTCGTGGCCTTCCTCTTTCAGGGGCAGCACCGACGGGAGTGGCAACAGTCTGGGGACGGCGTTTCACTGCACGCGAGGAGGCCCAGCCAGACCCAGGCGGCCTTGCTTTGTCCAAGACCGCATTCCCAGCATGGAGGGGCTGTACTTTCCTGGCATTTAAGATCCGACATTGTGCTGCTAGAAAATGCGATTTGACCTCTCACTTGAATAAACAGCGGTGGCAGTGAGTGCAGGACCGAGCTTCTCGGGGTGGGTAACGGCCACGGCAGAACAGGTCTGAGCATCTCCCCCTACCACGGACGGTCACATTCTTGCCAGACTTAAAAGGTGTCTCATCAGGACCGCCGTTTGCCCTGGCTGTGAACACTCCAGCCCAGGAGCAGCCTGGTAGGTCTGGTGGCCCGTGGCCCGTGGCCCGGGCCCCTCAGCTTGGCACACCCCTCCAAAGCACGTGTCCCTCAAAGTGCAGAGCCCACCACCACTGCCCGACGTGTGACTCAGTTTTGGTTTCTCAGTCAAGAAAAGCCCCCTGGGTTGCAAAGCAAGCATGGAAAAAGCGACTCAAAATGAAGTCAGACTCTACCTGAGGAGAGACCTTCAGAGACCACCGTAAGAGGACAGCTCAGAGTGAGAGAAAGGCCAGAATGAGAACAAAGGAAGGAGAACTGCTTTACACAGACCAGAAGAGCTATGCCAAGAGCGGGGGGTGGGGGGGGCTGGCGGGAGACCCGCACAGGCCTGCTGAGCAGCAAGCGGCAAGCCTGCGGGGGGGACATGCTGCCTTCCCGGCCATGCAGACCCTGCTGGGCCTTTCCACCTTCCTACAGGGTTTCCTCGCTCTCAAGGAGGCCGCTGCGACACCCCTTCACACTTGCCTGCCTGCCGGGCTCGATGGCCCCAAAAAGAAAGGGGAGAAGGCGCAAGCCGCCCCTGCCCCTCAGCCCCCCTCAGGCAAGCTGGAACACAGGGCATGCTGGGAGCTCGCAGGTGCCACCTTTCCCACCTCTGCCGCCGGCTGTCGGCACAAGAGGCGCCCTGGAGCCCCGTCGGATGAGCAAAGCAATTTCCTCTAGCGAGGCCCAGCAGCGGCATGAGAGTTGGCAACGGGGCTCCGCCGTAACCTCTCTCCGCTTCCTTTTCTGTTCGACCTTCACCCCCGATCAAGGCGAGAGAGGAGGCCGTGGCGAAAGCCCGCAAGGCAGAGAGGGGCGCAGGGCACCTGCCCGGCCTCGCTGCAGCTCCTGGGGCGAAAGGCACCCAAGAATGCGGAATGCATGCAGGCCACACGTCCAGCCTTGGAATTTCGGAGCTCTCCTTCGGCGCAGTGCGGCGCAAGGCGGGTCCCAGGCAACGGACCTGCACGAGCCCAGCCCGCTGAAGCGCCCTCCTCCTCGCCTTGCCCGCGGAAGGCACACGCATCAGCCAGCACCCCCAGAAGGGGCTCCTCCGGAGAGGCTCCTGCTGCACAAGGCATGGGGCCCCCGCTGCCTCCCAGCCCACCGAGCGAGTCCGTGTGCCCGACCAGCGCCTTCTGCCCCGAGGGAGTTGTGCTCCGTGCCCCGCCAGGAAGCGGCCAGGCAAGGGCAAGGTGGGCGCACGGCGGGACGAGGCTGGCCTTGCCCCAGTGGCTGGATGACGCTCTCCCGGGAGCGGGGAGGCAGCACAGCCCTCCGCAGCTCTACTCCAAGGCACAGGAGCCTCGGAAGCGGGCTTGGGAGCTGCCCCGACCCCTGCTGCCCGGTGGAAGTCCGAGCGACATTCAGCAAAATTCCGCTGCGATCGGGGAACTACAAGCCGTCAAGCTGCAAGCGAATGAACTCCTGGATGCACTTTCTGTACTGCATCTCAGTGTAGCTGTTTGGGTGTTGACCTGGCTGGCCGTAGAGTCCCTCCGACTCGCGCATCTCTTCATTCATTCTCGCCAAACGCAATCTAGGAGCAGAGAAACGCCGTGTCAGAGGGCGGGGCTGTAGGGCCCCCCGTTCTGCACCTGCTACCCGAGACAGACATTCCCGGGGCACTCCTGTCCCGGCCACCAGCATCCTCCACCAGACACAGGTGCCTGACGAGGCTGCCTGGCCCTGGGAGCACGAGGCCATCGCCGCTCCCGGGAGTTCCTTCTGGGCCACCCAGCACATCAGGAACGCTCAGCTCCCCGTTGCAGGTATTCTGGCCAAAAGTGGGGATTCATTTCATACACAAGAGGCTTCAACCCGCTGCACCAAATTTCCCAGCGCCTCCAAGGGGGCACGATGGCTCAGTGACGAGGGGGTGGGGGTGGGGGGGAGCTCCTTCAGTAAAGCAGCAGAGGGGCAGTAAAAGGAAGTTCAGGCCAGATCCGCCGCAGGGTGAGGAGCCCTGGTGCCGCCACTTTGCTCCACCCCAAATGCTGGCAGCGGAGCAAGGCAGCTGCGAGGCCTGGCCACGCCTGCTTGCCTTTCCGTCTCCCCAACCAAGAGTTCCCAGGGGCGCCACTCGCTAGCGTGGAAGCCCCGTGCTTACAGCGTCACGATATCTGCGTTGGCGGCTTCTATGGCGACACTCAGCGGGTCTTTCCCTTCTTCATCCGTGGCGTGCTGGTTGGCCCCCCGCTTGAGGAACAGACACACCTGCCTGTGGGGAGGGAACCACATGTGCAGTGTTTCTACCAGAGATGCACAGACGTGGTGGGAGAGCGGAGACAACCAGAGCGCAGCAGCCGTCTGGCCCGCCCGAACCCATGTGAGCCGCCCAAGCCTTTGACTGGTGTCCGAGGCCCACTTGCAAGGGCATTGGGCTGACGGATAAGAGACGGGCTTCTTCGGTGGTGGGCCCACAACTCTGGCACTCCCTCCCCACAGGCTGATTACTGCTGGTTAAAACGTCTGAAATCCAGCCTGCATGTGGTGTTTAGAAATTCAGAGCAGCATCTGGCAAGGCAGGAGCCCCGAGACGAGATCAGGCCAAGGAGCGACTGTGCCCAGCATTCCAGCCCCACGGCTGCCAACCCACTGCAGGACATGCAGCACATCCCCACTCGCCCTCCCCAGCAGCTAATGTGCGCAGCCGTGCGCAGGTGCCCATGAACTGGTCATACAAGCTGCCCTGTGGGGCAGGAAACCCTGACAAGTGGGGGTGGGTAAAAGCCCTCCCAGATTAGGTGGGCTCAAGGCACCCCGGTGAGGACTGCGCTATTTCGGTGCGGCTGTTGTGGCCTGGAGCTGCTGGGGATCCCGAGGAGGGATGGGTGGGACAAGGGCCCCTGCCGGCCTCCCCCTCCTCAAGCGTGCCGCAGCCACGACAGAAGCCCCCAGGCAGCGCCTCGTTGCCTCGGCAGCCTGCCTGGAGCCTCGGCGCAGGAGGGCTGCCCCCGCGGGCAGGAGGCGCTCCAGAGGCGGCAGGTGGTCTGCGCACAGGTACCTACCCGGTGTGCCCCAGGACTGTGGCATGGTGCAGGGGGCCCCTGCCCTGGGCGTCCCTGAGGTTCACGTTGGCCCCGTTCTGGAGCAGGAATTCGCAAGTGACCAAGGAGCCCTGGGGGCAGAGAGGGCGTCAGGCACGGCTCTGGCTCCTGGCAAGCCAGCTCCCCCACCCAGCCCCCCGGCCGGCCGAGAGCGAGCCTCTCCATCCAGCTGCTAACCCGAGGAACCTGGGCCCAGCTCACCCCACGGACGGCCTGGATCAGAGGGGTGGACCTGTTCTGCTCCGCATTGACCCAGTTGACGTCGGCTCCGTGAGCCAGGGCCTCTGCCATCCGCGGAAGGCTCTTCTCGTAGGAGGCGCGGTACAGCTGCAGCCCCGGGAGGACCAGCCCGGTGTCCTGGGAAGCGGCGGAAGCTGTGGCGGCGGCTGCATCACTCTCTGAAACAAAGGAGGCCCCAGCTTACTGGGACTGCTCCTGGCAGAGCCACCAGCTGCCAGCAGGGGAGAGCCAGGGCCGGGCCGGGCCCGCCAGCACCGCAGCCCCACCAGGCACCACCCTGCAGGCACACGGCTGACGCTCGGGGCATTCTGGGGACAGAGCTGCAGTGGCATCAGGGCTCTGATGGATGGACAGAAGCCAACCTTTCCAAAGGGGATTTGTTTTTACGTGAAAAAGGAGGGGGTGTGAAATGGGGGGGGGGGGGCAACACTTCTGGCACTGTGCGGTTTGCTCCCTTCACAGCTTCCTCACATAGACATCCACGGGAGAGGCTCCAGCCCGTTCCAGCAGCCCACAGCCTCCTGGCACCTCCCTCTTGCCACCTCTGGCCATTTTCCACTCTTCTGATAAGTGGTACTTATCTTTGCAAAATGGCTAATTTCACATTTGAGTCCTGTATGGCTGGTGTTGCCCAGCCTCCATGACTCACTTTCCCCTGATGCGTCTGGGCCAAGCAACACACTTTTGAAAAGGTGCTGAAAAGCAGCTGCTTGCTTTGAAGCAAAGGAGGTGGACTGCCCGTCCGAATCGTACCTCGTGCACCAGTCTCTGCCCCCTCTCTAGGTGCTGTTTGCCCCAACCACAGCACGGGAGGGGGGCAGCGCCCGTCACAGCGCAATCCCTAGGAAAGGCACGGCCACCCCTACCTGGCTCACATAAGGTGTTCACTGACACGGTGGCGGCCAGGTGCTCCCTGCTGTCGTCCACGCTGTGCTGGAATCCGCTGTCGTTGCTTCGCACTGTGGGGGGAAGAGGCGGGCAGCCATCAGGGGACAGCGGGCCTGGCAGCAGCGGGCAGTGGGAGCAAGGGCACGCTCGCCCTGGCACTTCTGCCTCGCCGGGGGCAGCGCTGGCGAGCGGGAGGGCCCGCGGTGGCGCCAGGAGGCGAGCCTCTCCCCGCTTCCGGGGCGTGTGGCGAGCAGCTGGGCAGGGAAGCACGTTGAGCGGGTCCTCTTCCTCCTCGGGGACGCACGGAGCTGCGCACGAGATGAGAGGGAAGGCCGAGCAGAGCAGAGCGATGGCCGCGCAGGCCACGTGGCAGGGGACAAGAACGGCTCGTCCGAGAGGGGTACTTACTACTACGAAGCTTTGAGGAGGTATCAAAGTAGGAGAAGAGCGAATCTAACTCATCGGGACAGAAGAGAGACTCCCGCCTCGCCTCGCCGCGACTTGCACCAACCTCTGGGGACATGCAAGCCAGCAAAGCATAGTGCAGGCCGAAAGGAAGGAGGCGGGGAGGGAAAGGAGGAGGCTGTTAGCAGGACGAAAATAGGGAGGAAACCCGCTTGTTAGTTCACCGCAGAGCCTCCGGCGCAAACCGCACTCCAGCCACAGCTGCGCCCGTGAGCACAGGCAGGCCAACGTCGCTCTCGGCAGCACTGCCTTCCAGGAGTGGCACTGGGCCCGCGTCTCTCGGGTGCACACGGCCAGGAGCGTCCGGCTGCTCCTTTTAGGCAGAGGCCACTCCTCCGGCCTGTTCTCCCCACAGCACTGCAGAGCCTGCCCTCTCCTCCTCTCGGGACCCCCGAAAGCGGGGCGGCCGAGTGCTGATGCTCTCCCTCCCCTCCCGCAAGCAGACGGAGAGGCGCGCTCGGTGCCCCGGCCAGCAGCAGGAGGCAGCGTACCTTTCGGAGAGGTGGCCCCCATTTGGTTGCTCGCGGCCGCCGGAGGCTGCTGGAGGCCGCCAGGCAACTTGGCATCTTGGCTGGGAGGCAGAGGACCTCCTCCGGGGGCCGCGGGGGGCCTGGCCACAAACCTCCTTTCCACATACTTGGCCCGGATGTACTCCTCCTTCTCTTGCCTGCAGACAGAAAGACTGTCCTGTGAGGGCTCCCCGAGCCTCTCCCCACTTCGTGCCACTGGTGCCACCACCGCCGCAAGCGCTGCCTCTGCCATGACGGCCCACCCAAGTTGAGCGCAAGAGCCACCACGGAGCAAGCCAAGAGGCCCACCCTGCCAGCGGCAGCTCCAGGGACGCCCGTTTCGGTATATCCCCTCCCACCCTCCCCAGCCAGTCCGTGCAGAGCCAGTGGTGTCAGCCCCTGGCCCTCGCCGCAGGGGAGGGCAACACGAGTCGGCGCCTGGCTGGTCTCTGCACTCGGCCCTGGGCCCGAGCGGCCTGCCACCCACGGGTGCTGGAAGCAGCACAGAGGCACGGGATGAGAACGGGGCCTCCCAGTCCCTGCCCATGGTCTGAAAAAAGAAGGGGTGCTGCAAGAAAGGGGGAACTTCTTCTGCACATGGAGAAGGGACAGAGGGGTGCAGAACGCAACAGGGAACCCAGGACTGGAAGCGGAGTTTTAAAAAGTCAAATAGCACATTGGGAAGGAAGGAGGGAGGGAGGGAGGGAGGGAGGGGCATCTAAAACAATTTCGTAAAATGAGGATGGTGTGGGTCCCTGAGCGAGAGGGACCAACGAGAAAAATGCGGCTAGCAGAGTGGAGAAGCAGGACACTGGAGGTGAAGCCAAGAGGTCGCAAAAGGGAGCCAGCCCACCTCTGGCTTCCAGGCTGGAGCTTCTGGACTCCCATTTTCTTCAAGTTGGCTTCATACACCCTGTTTATGACATCATTTCCCAGTTCACACATCAGCTGCAAGAAACATTGTGGAAAGTTCAGGCGAAGAGCGGGCTGCCTGCTCAGGCCCTCTTCCAGCAGCCTCCCGTCCGGCGCCAGCAAGGCAGCTGCCTTCGCTGGGGTCAGCTCGGACTGGGACGCGGCTGCAGGGCGTGGAGGGGGCTGCGCCTGGTAGCCCAGCTGTCCCTCTCAGCAGAGCCCGCCTCCTTTTCGCTGGCTGACGAGGGAGCAGCAGCCACCCGCCAGTGCTGTGGGGTGTGTGCGGCTGGCTGGGAAACGAGTCTCAAGACTGACCCATGCCAGGAAGCGGCAGGGGAAGGGGGAGCTGCTCGACACAAGGTCTGGGGTGGCTTTTGTAGCCTCCCCAGTCACGGCTCCAGTCATCACCCACACGCCCAAGGATGCTCTCTGAAAATGAGGATTAACCGCTGCATTCCCTTCCACAAAGTCCTTGCTTGCAAAACAGGACAAGTAAAACCTCACCTACAGAAACTACATACCAAGAATTCAGTTAAGAGTCACATCCAGCAATAGGGTCTACACTGAAAAACCTGCTGTTTCGTATCAACAACCTATTGGCAAAATGCCGCAGTGTCACCACGCTGGGTGACCACCACGTGACTCTGGGCCCGCGCGCCACAGCACGCCCCGGGAAGCTGGCCGGCAAGCAGGCCGCCTGGTGGCTCCGTGCTCGGCAGAGGCCTCCCCCTCCGCCCTGGCAGAGGCGCAGCCTTGCCTTGCCCCTCCAGCCTCGCTCTGGGCGGCAGGGGCCGCTAAGCTGATACTGCCTTTTGGCTGGGCAGCTTCCCTGGCGGACGGCGGGAATGCTGCAGCCGTAATCGAGCTGGACTTCAGCGAAGCTTTGGACCTAGTGCCCCGGGATGTCCCGCTTAGCAAGCAAGCCCAAAGTAGGCGAGACGTGCCAGCGGTCGGGTGGCTTGCAGGACGGCAGGGGCCTGCTACCCCCGTGCCACTGGCGAACCCACGGTACCTTCAGCAGCTCCGGCTCCCATGTATCTAACGTCAAGGATCTGACTTTGGAGAAATGGACGCCCAAGCTCCTAAAAAGAAAGACGCGGGAGGGGAGGGGGGCATGATGTCGAATGCCGCCTCTGGGGCAGGCCTGGCTCGCCCCATGTGGGCAGGGATGAAGCCCAGCCATGACCCTGCCGCCCTGTGGGAAGCACGGGGGCTGGCCAGGCTGTTCAGGGAGCAGCCCCCCCGCGCCGCCACTCACCTGTGGATGCCGGAGCACTCGATGCACAGCGTGATGCCCAGGTTGATGCTGGCCCACCGGGGGTCCGGCAGGCCGCAGTCGCAGCACACGGCGTTGCCGGCGATGCTCTGCACCCTCTGGAGCGAGCTCTCGCCCTTCAGCAGCTTCTCTCTGGACTCCCCGCTGGATTCTGGGCTCACTGCCGAAGGGGGCGGCTTCCTCTCCACCTTCGGAAAGGCAAGCGTGGACACATTCCTCATCCAAATGGACATGCAGCTCATTTCAGGGCAATTCAAAGTATAGGCCATGGATATAGTACATTTCGTGGCACGTTGCCGTGCCCAACGGTCCCTTCGGCCCGACTAGGATTATGATTCCCACCTGAGTGGTATAAAACATTTTCCAGTTTTCTAATTTTGGCACTTTAGTGTTGTATGACTTCATTTCTGAATCAAGTTCTCTTCTCCCAGCACTCAACAATGCCTTTATTATTGTAATTCCTAAACAGGATAGAGATAATACTTTCTGTGCTAATTACTGATCTCTTTCACTGATCCATGTTGACATCAAAGAATTAACTGCAACCTTGGCGATCACAACAAATTATTGCAACTTTAGTCCAAATGGCTCAAACGCCATGAATTAGAACTATTTATTTATTTATTTATAAAATTGCTATGCCGCCCTATTCGCCGAAGCCTCGGGGCGGCTCACAAACATAAATAACTTGGATAAAATAATATCCTTGGTATGCCAGGCCAGCGGCCGACCATCTTCTCAGACTGGTTGAAGATCTGCATGAAGGACAGATCAGACACCGCTGCTATTATTTCTTTGGATGTGGCGAACGCCTCTGACAAAATTAGTTGAATTCATCACATGAATAGATTTTGGCTTCATCCAGAATTTCACAGCTGAGTTGAAATTGCACATGACACCCCAGAGACAGGCTTAGGACAAAGGTGTTCTGTCTGCGTTTTTCTAAGGTGGGGTTCCTCCCAAGTTCCCCAGTGGCTGACCCAGAGGCGCACTGCTTCCGATCTGGAGGCAGCGTAAAGCCGTCAGGAACAGGAGCTGTGACCGGCATGCACAGCCCCAGCATATACTGCTTGACACAATCCTAACATTCATGGATTTATGCAAAAGGTGGCAGAATACAAACGTATTCTTCAGGGTGATCTTCTACTGCTTCCTCTGGAACTTCAGGCAACTGTTGCGGCTATGATGCAGAGGATTACGATTCTGGATATTTATCTGGCTTCTATTAGCTGGTGAAAGCCTGAACTGATGCCAGTTGGAGCTAATATACCCCACAGAGTGCTAACCAATTGGCAATTTAGATTTTATGCTGAATTTATTACTTATTTGGGAATATTTATCTGTAGAGACAGTATAAATGATTAAGTTAAACTTGAGTGACTTGACTGAGATCTCAAGGGACATTACTAGATGGACATCCGTAAAGCTAAGGTAGCTTAAATACACTTAAAATGAATATAATACCTCAAATTGATATAAAAATTAAGGTCAGCAGCATTTTACTTTAAATATTTATTATCAGATTGAAATTCCCAAATTACTGACAAGATAGCTCACTTGTCTGCCTCTGCTATCAGCTGTATGAAGATGGCGACAAATTAAGGACAGCAGACTTCAGTAAAGATGCCATTACCGTGCTTATGGCATTATGTGTTTTACATGTGTTTTTATATTTTAATTTTTGTGTTCATTATTTTGCTCCTTGCTTTTAATTCACTTTAATTCTCATTTTAATTGTGGAGATAGAAAAGTATCTCCCTTTATTTCATTTCCATATTGCCCCTCAGCCAAGCTCTCTGGGCAGTTTACAATCCATAAAAATCAGAAAACTTGTTACATTGGCCCGCACTGGCTTTTGCTGGTCTATGACCACAATAAAATTGAATTTGAGTACCTCACATTGTTTGCTTTACATGATATTCTTTTTTTTTACATCTGGAAAATACTTTCAGAAATTTAACATTTTGTTTTGTAAATTTTTATGTGGTCCAACTCCACCATGATTTTCCTTGAAAAGATTGTAACTTCTAATTAAAGAGGCCAAATTTGGCCTGCCCAGTCTTGCCTTATACCATCAGGCCTATCTGTTGGTTTATACTAGCTTCTGGTCTTTCATGGCGAGTCATCTCCCTGGCCATTTCTGGAATCTTCTATTTGGATCCTCCTCCCAAATGGATTCTATTGGGGTTTTGCTACACTAAAATAGCTAATATGCCTCCAACATTTTCAGCAGTTAGAGAGGCATGAATTTCCACATTAGTTGCAGTTTACCTTATTTTTCACATGCGAGATTAACTTTATGGGGAAATCCAGATTTCGAGAATGGCAAGAAAATGTCTGTTTGGTGAACTTGGACAGACCAGCTCATTTCTACCTTGGATCAACCTGTCTGTCCTGATCGTAACTTGCTGCCATTTTCCACGAGTTATAAATTGGGGACTGGACCAGTTCATGGAGGAAGCAGCAGCCAGCCACAGCTCCTGGTCCTGGCGGCTTTACGCTGCCTCCAGATCAGCCACTGGGGAACTTGGCAGGAAGGCGCTGCTGCCCTCTTGCGCCACTCGTGGGATCCTGTGAGCAGCTGCCTGGCTACTGTGGCTGCAGAAGAGCGACTCAATAAGAGTGAGTCGGAACGGGTCTCCCGGGCCATCTAGTCTGACCCCCGGCTCCAGCTGGCTCCACTCATGGAGCCCCCAACAGGTGGCTGTCCAATCTTTCCTGGAACGCCCTCACTGATGGGGCCTCCACCACCTCCCTCGGAAGCCCCTCCCATATCCAAGGGGCCCAATCCATCAGCAAGCCCTTCCTGACATCCCGCCTGGAGCCCAGTGCCTTGAGCTTTGCCCCGCTGGAACGTGTTCTGCCCTCCACTGCAGGGGAGAACCGGCCACGGCCCCATTCAAAAGCACGGAGCGGCTGGAGTTCGGGCGAATTCTGGGGGCGGCCGCCCACAGGCCTGCCGCCACCTCGGGGCGAGTCCAGCACCGCGTCACGGGGCGCTCGCTCCTGCAGCAAGAGCATCTGCCCAGCAGCCCGGGGAAAGGGCCCGACTTGCCTCTGCTTCGTCTCCTCCTTTCTCCCGGTAGGCCGTGGCAATGCTGGCCTGGACGGCCTTGATCCATGCTTGCCGCAGCTTCTCCGAGTCGGCCTGAAGGATGCAGCTTCTGCAAGAGAAGGCCTGGACTGAGCATCCCCGGGGGCCCGTGCCTCGTGGCACGCCAAGCCCCGCCTTCCCCCTGGCAATGGAGGGAGGCCCTGCCCCTGCGCCAGGCAGCTTTCCAAAGAGAAAGAGTGGAGGGGTGCAGAGAGAGAGGGCGAGACTTGGGCATTTGTTCCCTGCTAAGCAGGCCTTTCTTCCCCAAATCCAAAATGCCCATCCTGACCAGGATTTTTATGGTCCCGGGCAACCTGGGGTCTACGAGTGAGACACACATCCCTGTATTCAAACCAACGATGTCTTCCCCCATGTGGTTTTCCTTGCTCGGAGCAGCCATGTTCCACAGGTGCCTGAGAGCAGCGAAGGCAGCGCCCGCAACTCCTTCTCCATCCCGCATGCCTCCCTCCCTCAAGAACGAGCCCCGTAGGGGCAGGACCGCACTGCATGGCCACGAGCCCCGGGTGGGGGGGGGGATGCAGCGGCCAGAATGTGGGTGAGCGGGAAGCAGGAGCCGTGCCTCCCGCCGGCCACGGACCGCGCTGGAGCGCCTCCAAGCCAGCAGGCCACGCACGGTCCCAGCAGCTGCAGGGGAGGGGGCTGCCGTCCCGCCAGGCCAAAGCATGCTCTGCGGCAAGCGAGCTTCCCGAGGCCTCTGCTTACTTGGTGGGAGAGACCACCTCGAAGCAGAAGCGCCTCTCCAGGTCCTCGCAGGGCTTCACTGTGCACAGGCGCAGGTCCTCCACAACGACCGTGGGGTTATCCTGGAAAAGGACGGAAGGGGCCACAGGGACCATGAAAAGCTGGGCTGTGCCGCCCCCCACCCCACCCCGAGAGGCCTTGCTCTGCCCTCGCTCCAGCCTCTACGCAGGTCTGGCTTAGCCCATGCCCGCCGCTGCCAGCAAGGACGCCCAGGGGCCAAGCAGCTTTGGCGGCTGCTCGGCAGCCCAGGAGGCCTCAGCCGCTGGCCATCAAGCCGCGGACAAGGGGAGCCCTTCCTCGTCCTGGCCCACCACCTGCACAGCTTTCACCCTCCCCTCCAGCACCCAGGCCACTGAATCACAGGCGGGGCCCACACGTCACGGGGCAAGGGGAGCCCCCCAGGGGCCCTCACCCTGAAAGCAGATCCAGAACCACCAACCAAGCGCCCCCCCCC